AAATGTTACTTTTAATAATCATATAATATTATTAGGAGTGGACATATAACCATCCATTAATATTTCAGGAATATTATTTAATATTATATAATTTTAGTAAAATATTATTAAAATGTTATATTTAATATTCTGAGAATATGCCTAAAATATTATTTAATATTAAATAATATTATGCGCTTATAGGGCAGTAGCCAATACGATGGCAAGATTCTAATCTAGCTAGGAATCCAGCAGGAAAACAAGCATCGTGTGCCGCAGGCTTTAGATAGTGGATGATCACGTGACCGGCATCGTTGAGATCAAAGTTGCCGATAAAAGGTGCCAACACGAAGTATTCTTACTGATTATGTTTCCAAGTATGTGTGTAATGAGGCATATCTTCGTTATGCAACCAGAAGCAACCGCAACTAAGGCTGTTTTCGTCTTCTGATCCTTGTATGTTTAACGACGTTTAAGATTTAAATTGGGAAGACTGACGTCATTTTGCTTCATTCGAGTGAATATTTACTTCTAGATGGCGCAGTGAACATTGATCATTGGAAGTATAGGGTGTCTCATAAAACCAACTTCACACAGAATACAGACTACAGACCACATATCGATACAATGTTATTAACCATACTCTTTTTGACTGCATAAATTTTACTTATCGAGATAAATATAAGATTATAACATACAAAAAAACATAAGTGAATCAGCAAATTATAGTAGAGAGCCTAAGGCCCAAGGTAATAATGTAAACAGTACCAAATTCAAAATGTTGATTTATTTACTTCTTAAGTTTTTGTGTACATAGCTACCGTAGCTTTAATGGTAGGTATGTTAAGCAGGTTATATAAATAAGAGAGTTTTTATTTTGCTCTTTTAATATTTTTTATAATACTAGATTTTGGGACGCCTTGTATATGAAAACTAATGAGCTGGGATTTCCTGTGATTGGCTCTGATACGTATTTCAAGGATAGAGGTCAGTGTGTTTTCAAGGTTCCAAGAAATAAAAGTATTAACACAAAGAGTCCGTAAGCTATATATATTTTCGTCTTCGAACGACGCTGGCGATTTGATAATCCAATGAAGTTACATCTTGCGTCGCGGTGATGCGATTGTGACGTTGTATCTGAGTTCTATTTTAATATACGTGTCATTTTTCTGATACAATAATACTTTTTTATTACAACAGTAAAGTGTAATTACATTTTCGGCCATCAACTTCGGAATTGATATTTTCAACAAAATGCTACGTAAGTATACATCTTTAAAGAAAATCAATCTCTTTTAAGAAATTAATATTGATCTTCGTAGCTTGATTGCATATGTATCATTCAAATCTATTTTAGGCAAATATTTCCAATTTTTGTATGAAAAGAAGTAATAGCTGACTATTGTTTTTCGCATTGTATATGAACATTGTATAAAAAAATTGTCCTTCAAAAAATTTTTTTGAAGAACAATTTGAAGAGTTTCATTATACTTTTCAAAACATTTGTATATACTAACAAATTTTTTTAACATATATGTTTTATTATGACAAGTTTTATTGCATTTTCTCTATTGTTTGTATAAAGTGAAAGCTTGAAAAATACAAAATTTGTGGATAAAAAATAGAACATTGATACATTGGATTATTTTGTTTCCTTCTCATTTTTGTCTTTCGTTTTTAATTTGCATTTTTTTAAATAAAAAAATTCAAAGTGAAACAAATTCTTTATTTAATTTTCATGAAAATAATAAAAGTAACAGAAATATGAAAATCTAATTAATATGATAAAATATATTTCTATAAAAAGATTATAAATTTAGTAGATAAAATACAATGGTGTTAAACCTGTAAAATATTTTTAAACTCAGTTTTTTACTCAAGCTTACAAATTGTCCTATATTATGTTTTTTAATTAATTTAAGTTCATACTTCTATTAAATCACGCATTTTAAATGTTTTATGTAGTTAAAAATATCTTTAATGGTACGTCTTTATATGTTTTTGGTACATCTTTATATGTTTTTGGTAAAATTAATTAATCATAAAAGAGAATGCTCCTTTTTCTTTTTTATGAGAGAGAAATAATAATTACACAGTAATACGTAATTAATAATCTTAAATATCTTTATTGCTATTATATATTTTATTGGTGATATGAAAAACTATGAAAAATAAGAACTTGTTTAACTTTGAAGAAAACATTATTTGTCTTAAAACTTGTATTTCTTAGCTATATATTTACTCTGTGTGCACATAAAATAAATACATAAATGTAAGATCAGTAAAATGAACTTTTTAACATAAAACAAATACCAAAATGTAAGATTAATTAAATTATCTGTTTCATCAAAACTAATATTCTTATAAAAAAACATAGCAGTATAAAAAATTATTTTATAATTTCCTCTTTCTGTCAAAAATATGATCATTCTGTCATTACTTATTGTGTTATAGTATTTGATGCAATTTAACATATTTTTTTAAGAGAGAAATGGAAGAGAAAAAGAATAAACAAAACAAACTGTTTAAATTAAAGTGCAAGAAAAGCTATATTTTAAAATATTAATATATTGTATTATTTATAGGAATTGCATCAATATTCCTGCTTTTTGCCATCTCAGCAATCATTGCTCAAGATTGTGAGAATAAAGATACACAATGTCCCACACCATCGAAATTTAATCAAGACACCAATTGGCAGTCAGCTACTTCGGTTTACGATTTCCATGCAAACAACATTTTGGGCAAAAATGTCCCATTGGAGAAATATCGTGGTCATGTTCTTATTATTGTTAATGTAGCCAGTAACTGTGGCTTAACAGAAAGCAATTATAAACAACTCCAGCAATTATATGATAAATATAGCGAAAAAGGTTTGCGAATTCTTGCGTTTCCTTCTAATCAGTTTGCTGGTCAGGAGCCGGGCACTTCTGAGGAAATATTAAACTTCGTGAAACAGTACAATGTTACTTTTGACATGTTTGAGAAAATTGATGTAAACGGAGAGAATGCTCATCCGCTGTGGAAGTGGCTAAAGACGCAGAAAGGCGGACTCATTACCGACGCAATTAAATGGAATTTTACTAAATTTATTGTAAACAAAGAAGGTAAACCAGTGGAAAGATTCTCTCCGACTACTGAACCATTAAGTATGGAAGAAAATTTGAAAAAGTATCTTTAAGTTTGTACAACGCTTGCTTCCTTTCTTTCTGTATTTTATACATATTTTTAATAATTTTTTTTATTTAGTATACAAATATAAAATTACATATGCATATAATTATGTAATATTAACAAGGTACGGAGGATTATCTTTTTCCTTTATTATATAATCTTTTTTTTTAAATACTTTGTCACATAATGGTGTATGGAAAAATACGTTGTATTCAAAGATAATATAAATAACAAAAATAAAGTTATTTTATAAATATACTATATGATCTTGCGATTACTTGTTCACCGAAAATTTATAGATATTCATGTTTATATAAGATGCATAGAAATATTAAATTTTCTTCTGCATGGGAATTAAAAAACTTCGATGTAATGAATTACTCAAAAACACTTTGTATTCTTTATAAACTGTAAAATTACTTAAAAATATTTAATTAATTCATTGCTTATGAACCTATATATATCTACTTTAATTATCAGTAAGAATGACATCTGTTTATATTCTTTATTGTATTCTTATTATTATATACAAAAATTATATACAAAAAATTAAAGAAACACTTGGCGCTGCTAGATCACAGTATAACATAGTACTAAAAACACGAATGTAATATTTAGAATAAGAAAAATAAGAATTCCTACGAGAGTAAAAGTATCCACCATGTATATGCGATTAGATTATACAGTAATATAAGTTACGAAAGTCGTGCAAGTTACTAGGTTTAGATCTAAGATAAATAAATTTGTAAGACATGTATTAAGGTATTTAGGAGAAAAAAATATTAAAAAGAAAAAGGAAATAAACAGTAAATTTACTTTTATTCAGTATAACATTCAGATTAAATTCATTATTACGTTAAAATTGTAATTATCTTTCATTATTTATTTTTATTAAGGGGATGCTGGAGCGACGGCCGAATTTGATCGAGGTCGATAATACAGATTTTTTAATTCTAAATTCGATAATGGTGACATCTTTCATTCATTTCTTATATTTATTATATATCGTTGTGTCTCATTGGGTGCATTCAGTACCACGACCGCTCACTGAGCGCTCAGTGAGCTCTTGTATCTGCTGGTCTATATTTTTAGTTCTAACGGAATATGCCAATAAGATGCAAAGCGCTTACTGAGCGCTCAGTGAGCGGTTGTAGTACTAAATGCACCCAATGACTACATTTACACCGTGCATTAGGTCGCGGCTTATACAATAGATGTCCTGTTTATCCTGTAGGTTAAACAAAGGCTACGTTTACACCGTACGCTTAGTCCGTGATCTATACAATAGGTGTCTTTGTTTAATATACAGGATAAACAAGGACGTCTATTGTATAGGCCGCGGCCTAAATGCACGGTGTAAACGTAGCCAGTGACACCTATCGTATAAGTCGCGGACTAAGCGTATGGTGTGAACGTAGCCACTCAAACGCATTTATCTATCCTTATAAAGGATATTGCAACGTCATTTCTTTCAAGATCGAGTATCTACGTTAGACATATTTATTCTTTGTTTATCATTCCGAGTCGTCGTTCAGCATTCATATATACACGTAATTTGCAGGTATAAATCTTTCGTTTTAAGCTTTTAATCTTAATTTCATAAACTCAGTATTGTTTGTGCATGTAAAACGTTGGGTGCTGAACTGTCGTTTTGTCCATAGGAGTTATAAAGTTTTTGTATTTGTAAGTATTTTGTAAGAAAACATCTATGACAGTAAGAGTTGAAAAAATGTAAATTTTTAACTTTTTCTCGATTTTAATATAATCCACTGCAGCACCACCAAATTTTGCGTCTACTTTAATCCTGTAAAAGGATTTTTAATTCCGTTCAGTAAATTCGAAATTTATATCGATCTCCAATGTCCTTACAATTTGATCACTCCAGCATCCCCTTAAATTTTTTAAGTATGCACTTTTGGTTTAATAATAAAAAATTGAATCCATGGCTACGTTCAGTAGAGAAAACTAATCAGTTAGCGATTAGTGATTCTTCAATATAATTGGTTCCTACTTACTTAGATCCAGTCAAGAATTAAAGGCAAGAATGAATTATATTAAAGAATCACTAAGCGCTAACTGATTAGTTTTCTCTGTTGAACGCAACCATTTATTATTGATTATTCCGCTTAAAAATAGTTATTAAATCTTGTTAGTTCTTTACATGACATTGTAGTTTTTAAAGATACGTTATTTATTATATAAATTTCTAACAATATAAATGTAAACTGTACAAATGTAAACAAAATTCATCTGGGTTGTCTCATTGTCCTATTCACTCTTGAAATGGTTATACGTATGGACGAATATAATACATGCATTCCTTAATGACTTTAATATAAATAAATATAGATTTAATAAATTATATAGAATTTCATGCAGTTTCTTTGACACTGATGATAGCCATTTCGTGATCTGCTGTAATTTTATTTCTTCTATTGGGTATCGTGATTGCATCCTCACAGGTCTAAAAGGAAGCAACATTTAACGTTAATCTACTCATAAATCTCGGTAAAAAATATACATTATATGAACATTTGGTAAACCTTTACGTTAACAATACAGTTCCGATGACTTTGACTTTGACATACCACTACCAATGACGTATCATTACCAATAAATTAGACATATAATAGACCTGTTCTTTTTAGCTGAACTTTTCAACCAGTTTCTTTCTTCCTTTTCTCTTCAGGAGGAAAGAAGAAGAAGATGAACTGGTGCAAAAGTTCAGCCAAAAAGAACAGGCCTAATAGGTTTAGGTTGAACTTTGTCTCGTTTCACATTGATATTTGTAAATCCATGTGGAACCTTACTTTTCGTTGTAAAATATGTTGAGAACTATACTGGAGAAGTTAATATATAAGTTCGACACAAAATTGGATACAATATGAACTGATGAGACTCAGTGAATAGATTACAATATGTCTCTTATAGGTTTACTGTTATATTATAGTATGATATAACAGCTTTTAAGAAAACGAACTCTTTTTTTATTGCATTTGTACCGTCGTTTTATGTTTGCAGATCATGCTGTTAGGAACTAAGTTTAATGAGGAAGCAGGAGCTTGATATCTGCTGTAATGTTATGATTAAGTTTGCTAGCGTACTACTGGCGTACTGCTAGCATTTTGCTATTTGAGTATATATACCAAAATTATACTTTAACTTTAAATATCTCAAAAATTGTAAAAGATCGCCGATTATATCATAAGGAAAAGTTAATCAGCGTCATAACCTTGACAACATATATCAAGGTCAAAGTTAAGATCATCGGAGCTATGTTTGTTTTAATGTAAAGATTTACTAAATATTTTCTCCTTATACAGAGTCCTTTTATTTATATATTTTAAATAATATATTAAGATTTCGTTTTCGCTGCAATATATTTTATTTTACCTCATTCAAATGCAACCGCGATCAAACAAAACTTCAATTAATACATACATGGTTGAGTGTAATATAAACCGTACATCGTTTAATATTTGATTGAATATAGTTGTATGATCTAAAATATAAATACAGTATTAGCATATTGGAATCACATGCTTAAATATATGAATTAAAATATTAAAATAAATGAAAGATATTGATTCTCTATACCATTTTTTCAAGACTAATAAACTAATAAAATAATATAAGATTATCTATAAGATATTATAAGAAAACCTGGGAAAAAATGTATTATATATAAATTATATATAATTATATAAAATTATAACACTAAAATAACTATTGTAAAATAAATGCAACAATGGCCACTTTTAAAACGTAAATGCTAAAATAGTACTTAAGATGGCCTATTTATCGGCCACAGTGATGCGTTTATCTTACTCCACAAATACAATAACAATAACAATGAATTACCCATAGTTTCTTGTTGTAATTCTACCTTATAGGAAGGATTGTCGTATGCTGACGTTGTTTTACGAGGTGATATGTCAGCCTTACTACTTGTTCGTCTTTTCATCAACATCATTGATAGAATCAAGGTCGATAATATCGCTAAAGAGGCCACGATGGCTACCACCACTAGTGGACCATAGTAATCTCCATCATGTAGAGGAAGCGTTGCAAATTTTCCGGCTAAAGAAAAGATTCTATATACATAACTTCATAATAAAGATATAAAAAGATAAAGTTATTTTAAAAATTATGCTCTTATTAAGGAACAAGGATGGAAAAAAAGATTGCATTTTGTAACAACCAAGGAAAAAATGTTTTATACATAATTGTATAAAATTATATAAAATTTTATATAATTTTATAATGTAATTGTATATAAATGGACATATTTTATATATAATTGTATATAATTATATACATTGATATATAATTATCAGGGTTGTATAAGTTACTTTGTTACTTTTAGTGAGTAACGCGTGATGACAATAATTGTTACTTTTCAAAGTAAAGACTTTTCCAGCACAACCTTTGCAACGTCATAACATTTGCATGATATATACATGTTTTATTTATATAAAATTGAAGGGAAGTAGTAGGAAGGGTTTCTAAGTGGCATTATACAATAAATTAATATCATGCAATCTTCCTCTTTGAATTTTTATAAGAAATCATAAAAATATTAAAATGTTTTGAGTGAATAGTCTATTGATCATATCTCGGTTGATTATGTTGCAATTGATCACGTCCTAATTGATTAAGTCGATATTAACTAGGTCCTGATTGACCACGTTACAAATGACTACATTGAAATTGATTACATTCGGACTGACCACGTTCCGATAGGACGCTTCTAAAATTTTTAGAAAATAATCTTATTATATGATGAATATATATTACAATTTGAGATTAGACCAATTAATAAACTCTAAGAGAAATCCTATTTTTGGACAAAGTATATTTTAGTGCTTAAATATTTCAGTAAGAATTTACATACATTTTCAATTCTGCAAATCATACACCGAAACTTTTTTTAATCTTGAAACGTAATTAGGAACAGAACTAAAGTTGTAATATCACACATTAAATTGACAAGCAATTTTTAATATTAATAAGTAATTTAATAATAATAATAATAAGCATTTTTTAAGAAATAAGAATGTTAATGAAAATGAAAATATGATAGGAGAAGGGTCA